AAAAGTAAAAAACACCAGACAGCTGTAACAACTGAACTATTCTGCAAAGTATCTAATGAGAAAGAAAGAGTGAAATGTCCTGGAAAAAGTCTTCACAGCTCTTTATTGGCTAGCAAAAGAAAGTGTGGCCAACAGAAAAGCTCTATCCCTCATACAACTAATTGAGAAGCTGGGTGCCTCTGATTTAAAATATTTTACTTATAGTGCTCCTGCTTCAGTGAGAGAAATGTGCCTTGCAATTGCACAGGCGATAATGGATAGCATACTGAAAATTGTATGTCAAGTTGGTTGCTATGGAATTCTTGTTGATGACATGACTGATATTTCAGTTGTTGAACAGATGATTTCATTTATACAATTATTCAACCCAATCAAGGGATCAGTGGAGACGGCATTCCTTTTCATTAAGAATGTACTCTCGGAATCTGACTCAGCTGATGCCAAGACACTATGTGCTTGCCTTTGTAATAAGTTAGAAGAATTAAATCTTGATGTGAAAAAAATGAAAGGTATGGTTTCTGATGGAGCGAGTATGATGTTGGGCAAGAAAAATGGATTAGCTGCAAAACTGAAGGCTATTAATTCTCATATAGTGTTTGTTCATTGTGTGTGCCATCGTTTGGCACTCGCATGCACTGATACTATTGTAAGTCTGAAATATATTCAAGAGGTTGAATTGATAGTCACCCAGTTATGGAAGATGTTTGAAAATTCACCAAAGAAGATGGCTCAGTTTCTAAAGACACAAGAAGAATTACATGCCATAAAATTATCTAGTGTAGAGTCACGCTCCACAATAAAAAAAAACTAAAGAAAGCCTGCAAGACATGGTGGCTGTCATTTGACTCTGCCATAGAGTCTGTATTTGAGGGTTATATAGCAATTCTGTATACTTTAGATCCTACAGCATATGGCTTGCTGAAAAAGATGAAGAACATTAGATTTCTTGGAAATGTATATATTTTGCACTATGTCTTGCCTATTCTCTCAGAACTGAGCAAAACATTCCAGTATGGTACTTTAAATTTTGCTGCTATATCTCCAACTGTAACCAGAACAAAGGACAGATTATTTAGTATCCTGGACGATTTGTTACCACTTGTATCCCTAAAGAAAGACCTGTCTCCTGGTGGTAGGTTGGAACTGGTTTGTCAAGAAATAAAATATACAGAAACCCAGATAACTCACCTGCATACTAAATTAAGAAATTACATCACAGCACTTGCCCAAAATATTGACAACAGGCTACAATCAGTACTTCAGAGCTTTTCCATCTTTGATCCAACAGCATTGCCATCTGTAGGAAGTCCAGGTTTCCAGGACTATGGTCTGGAGGCTATCAATGTTTAGGCCAAGCAGTTATTGGCTGAGTGGAACAAATTTAAATATGACATGGATGTATGGAAGCAAGATTTGCCAGGGAAGCTGCCTCACCAAACACCAACTGAATGGTGTGCTGTAAAGTTGTTATCTATGAGACATTCCTATAACTACACTGAATTAGCCAAAGTATGCGAGGCATTTTGTCAATCCCAGTTTCCAATGCTTGGCCAGAAAGGGGGGCAAGCAGAGTTCGCTTGATCAAAACCAGAATGCGGAGTAGAATGAATGAGGATTTGCTGCAGGCTTTGATGCAGATATCTATAAATGGTCCTCCAATTTTCTCAGATGATTGTAATGCCATAATTAAAGCAACTGTTGGAAATTGGATGTCAGTAAAACAATGAATGAAGCTACCCATCCATGACAATGAGGATTCTGAAAGAAGAAGAGAAATTCTCAAAGCAGTGGAGGTTTGAAAGCTTTTGACCGAAGAAATCAAATATGATACATGTAGTGATAGTGAAAGTGATTAAATAAAATAACTTGTATACAGAGTAAGATTGGTAGTTTAGTTAAATATCATATGAATTATAACCGACATCTCATACTTCTTACCCTATGCTGTTACAAAAAAGGGAAAAGCCATCATTTGTTGATAAAAAATTGTTAAACCAGTGTTTTTCTTCTCAGCTATCACCAGATCACACCATTTACACTTCCATTCACTAAATCGTCTACGGCGAGAGGGGGGAACCCTCTCTCATACTCTCCCACGTGCCTTCGGGCACGTGCCGGGCCTACGGCCATGCTAGCTCTCCTGTTTTTTTTTTTAATTCTCCCCCTGTTCATTTTCGTAGAAACAACCCTGTTGTAAACTAGGGACTTTTCACACTCATCGTCAAAATCAATTTGGCCGAATACATCGTCATCATGATTATCGACGTCTTTTGTGTGCACAATTTCTTCCTTAACGTGTACAGTAGGGAAAGTAGCTCTATGTGCTTGGAAATTGTGCGGCGGTAATTGTGTTCTAACGTGATACACGCTTCAAAAACGTGTTTCACCCAGGATTTTACCAGCTTCACATGCATATTCTGAGTTTGTAGATAAGCTCCGATCGCTACCATTCCTGCATTTTTTGTCGGAACCAGATGGAACAAATAGTTATAATACAAGTGCACATTTATTGAACTATTCCAAACCCATGCAGCCCATGTATATTTAAATGTTGCAGTGTTATATTAATGTGTCAAAAAATAATATACTATACTCATAAAACTACCATTAATGTATAATTAAAAAAAGAAGGTCCATGTTGTTTGTCGGCATATTTATTTACAAAAATGTCGTAAAAGCTGCCATTTTACGCCTTTTAATTGCGCACAAACATGCGCAATCGACGAAAACGATGAGTAGGCTGCTACCTTAAAGGTTGGGTAACAATGCAAATGGCGAACTATTCACAGAAACATGTGAATGTTCTGCCGATGTAGCTAACACAGGGTAAACTGTTGTAATGTAGTGTGGTGTAGATTTGAATAATGGTGGTAGTAGGGCTGGGGTTTAGTTTCACTCTCAAAAATGACAACGGAAATGGATTCAAACATCGGAGCTGCACTCTGAGTTGTTGCCAGTGCTAGTCAACAACTTTAATTAGCATAACCACCAGAGTGTTTTTCCAACGCAGGGGATTGCCTGCAGGTGCGTCCAGTCGGGATTTCTTTCGCAGTCAGGCTAGTTTTCACGATGACGATAAAAATTCTAAGCTGACTTTGCCAGTCTAAGGAGACGAGCATAAAAGCAGCAAAAAAGAAGGATCTTGCTTAGCGAAAATGGTGAAAAAGTCTTCGTACATTCCAAGATCAGAACAACTTTAAAACTGATGCTTTGGACAGCTGTAGTGTCAGTCAATAGCGTTCATAGATATACTTTGTTGCAAGGGGCACAATTTAATAAAAAAAAGGTGTTTTGTCCTAGTAGTCCAGTAGAAATTGACGAGAACCCATACATTTTGTATAACAAACATGATTTTTGTTTATTCTCTATATGTTGATGCTCTATAACCGTAAAAAAAATTCAATCCGAATCAACTTTGGGGAAAGTTGTTTTTTAAGCACGTGAAAATCAAATTTGTGGTCAAAGGTGTAAAAAACGCAATTTTGAGTCTCAAAACAAACTACAAATCTCATTGCTATACATCAAATTAAAGGTAATGAACTCATGAACATAGTTACATACATACTAAATGTTATCACATTGTTACCATGGAAACAGATAGTGATTATATTTATTAAATAAAACACAATGTTCACATTGTTTCAAGCACGACAACATTTGTTTTGTTTATTATTGATAATCTAAAGAGTAACAACAGTTAGTTTGGTATATATATTGGTGTCACAGAATTGCACACAACATTCAATCCAGATATAACCCTGGGAAACTTATGTTTTCTCGTGTATAAACAATGCTATTTTGGTTAACAAAATGTAGTATAGTACACGTTTAGGTCTTTATTCATCTAAAAATGAATTCGAACGCTAATGAACTCAACAACATATGTACTTTAGTGCTTTAGTCACACATTTTGTAAAAGTAAATAACCTAATTTAATGACTACACAATTCCGAACATTTTCTGTACTGCAAAACAATGGAAAAATACAAATGTGATAAAGGCTGTGGTACATTCCAGAAATCCAATCTAGTATGTCTCCGCTCAAATCATACATGCACTCAGAGTAGTATTACTCATAAATGTGAGTTTGATGATGATCTGTTCCTGTTACTGATTGCCAGAGAATCTTCTTACGCTGGATCTTCAATGTCTTTGTCATCATCATTATCAATATCGCCTGTCAAGTAGCTTGTTGGTGAGCTATTGTCGCATTGTGCCAAGGGAGTCCCTTTTTGAACATCCACACGATGAACATAAGTGCACACTAGTCCTGCATGAACATCTGTTGAAAGAAGTTCTGGTGATGCAGCTGCAATATCTGTAATAATAGGTGAAACGGAGCCATCCTGTAACTTAAACCCATAATCTTTGTTATTTAACACAGTTTCAAGATGCTTCCATGTAGTCACCTGGTGGTGCACACATAGGCTGTGAAAGTAGCAGGCTCTGCTTGTAGGAGGCATACGCTCAACAGGAGTATATTTTGAAGATATCAGAGCTCATCTATACCATTTATTGCTTTCATATTTCCACTGTATAACATTTTGACAATTGTCTCTCCAACATTACACAGCTCTTGGATTGGTGTTGATGTGTCTCCAAATACCAGTACATCAGATCGTAGCCATTGTGATGACTGGAGGAGTTTTATTATATTTACCTTGCCATGACCATAGATGGATGTTGTGTCACAACCAGACATGGCGTGGGCAAACAGGATCCTTTGTTGTAGTGACTTAGTAACTATCAGAAATTACGTAGAGTGGAACCCCAACTGTCTGTGAGTTGCTGCAGTAACCAACCTTTGGCCAGGGTATACAGTGTAGAAGAGCACATCCATCAAACACCTTCACAGTTGGTTCATAATTTCTTTGAACAAGGATATCATCATCCATCTGGAGTAGATAATTAGCCAGTTGTGACTTCTGTGACTTCCTCATGCTACCATCATCTTGGAAAAAAGCTGGAGAAACAGTGGCAAGCTCATGTGCAAATACACTTGGCTGTGGAAGTCCATTCAGATATGCAACTGACAACAGACGTTTGTAGAGTTCTGCTGATGACATGGCAATATCTTCATTTTCAACCTTAATCAGCTTTCTCATTACCGCAAAGGTTTTAGCTTGGTCAACCTTCTTCATGGTGACTTCTGCAACTTTTTTGCCTGTTAGCTTGGCATGGATATTCTGCCCTATTTGTAGTGAATCATCAACATTCACTCGGTAATCAGCAATCAACATTTCTTAGCTCATCATCATCTTCAACAGTAAATGGACCTTGAATTTTGAGAGAAGCTGCAGCATCACGTTGGATGTTTTCTGTACGAACTTCACAATGCTGCTCTGACCAAGTTCCAGTAAAAGTACCAGTCAGTGATCGAAGTGCTTCATTTTACTTCGCCATTATATGTGCAGAAAGAAGCCATTTTGTTCTGGCTGATTCTTGGTGCGTAATGTTTATGAGTCCTCCCAGACCTCATTAGGCTTTGTTCAATGGTCATGTCTGACCATGTGCCACTCCAGAAAAACTTCTTATTTCTGTGCACATAAATAGGCCATCTTCCATTGGTTTCAACAGGCAAGGACAAGGTTCCTGACAATCTTGTAAATATAAACGAGAACTCTTTGTGTAGTTATTGTGTCCTGCTGCAGCAAAATAAGGAAGCATATCATGTGTAGATTTAAGGTGAATCTTCCAATTTCCAGTTCTTTCAGCCCTTATGAACATTCTAAAAACTTATACAATATTCATGAACATAACCCATAACTTTCCTGTTCGAGACTTTTCCTTGTCCTTCATATCACACACTTG